GTCGTTTTTCTCTGCAAAAATAATTGTTCACGAAAATCTCTGTCCTCCGAGCGCAATTTTTCGCTTGGGGCTAGATCTGGTGAGTAAGGCGGTTGGTCAAGCAGTGCAAACCGTAGTTCGTAGATTTTCGCCATGGCAACCGCTGAGGTGTGAGACGGTGCGTTGTCTTGGTGAAACAGGATTTTCTTTTTCTGCAAATGTGGCCGTTTTTCCTTAAGTTCTACCTACAGCTTGTCAGGTAATGATGCGTAGTATTCTTGTCTAATAGTTTTGCATTTTTGGAGATAATCGAATAAAATAACTCCATGACTATCCCAAAAAAACAGTCGCCATCACTTTCCCAGCCGAAAAAACAGTTTTTGCCTTTTTTGAAGCCGGTTCCTCTTTTGTAGTCCACTGTTTGGACTGTATTTTTGTTTCGGGCGTATAATGGTGTATCCAAGTTTCATCTACAGTAATTAAAACTTGGATTTATTGCGCCTAAACTGCGCCAACAGAGGGTTGGAAATGTTCATTCGAACACGTTTTTGGTCTAACGTGAGCAAACGCGGCACCCAACGCGCGGACAGCTTTCTCATGTCTAAATGTTGATTTAAAATGTGACAAATACCTGACTTTTGACACGTTCATAAACTCTGCTATCTCACTCACTTTAACTCGGCGGTACTTAAAGCACTTTAAGCACCATTTAGTGAACTTTGGCGATGTTTTCGTTGGTAGTTGCAGTTTTTGGACGCCCCGAACTTTCATCGTCTCCCAAACTCTTACGGCCACGTTTAAATTCAGCTGCCCAAAATTTCACTATGATAAATGTTGGTGCAGATGAGAGTGAGATGAGAGTCAGAAGATGAGTTGGATTCTGTGACCCATACACAGAATCCAACTCATCTTTGATTTGCGTAGGCGTCTTGCCTTTCAAAAACAAATATTTAATGACAGCTCGATACTCGATTTTATCAATTTTCATAACACACATGAACTCACTCAAACGACTGTTTCATAACAACAGCGTCCAAAATGGCTGAAACAATGGCGAGTATCAACACATGAACAACGAAATTCACTAGCTTTTATTCACGAGTGGTGCCATCTTCGTGTTAAGGTCGGAAACTTTTCAGACCGCCTGTGTAACTGTGACAAGTGTGTCAAACTGAAGATGTGCAGCATTTGCTGATGGATTGTGTCAGGAACAAGGATGGAAGGGAATTATTCATTAGCCTATCTAATTGCATATTTTAGATGTTGGGCTTATTCAAAGTATTTTGGATTATCCAAACACGGATATTGCAATGCGGTGGTGTGGTTTAGCGGAAGTCTGCCACAACAATCATCAATAATTCTCCTTTTATTTAGAAAATATTAAGATATGTTGTGTTGTTGTATGATAGGGTACGATGAGGTTGGCTTATCCATGTGGATTAAAACTCATTATAAAATTATGACAATACAAGAAATTGATAAATTTGGATGTTTATCGTAATCAGGATCTGCCGGATTAATGGCTTTTTCCATGCCTAAAAATATGGTTGTAGCTTTTGCTACTTAGTAAGAGGCGTGGCTTACTTACTTGTTAGTTTTTTAGTTTTTAATGAGAAAATAATCACCATTAATTTTATAAAAAAACAAAAGTAAATTATAGTTTAAAAAACTGAAAAGTTGAAATCAAAAGTAGAAAATAATTTTCTGTAAGTTCAAAAAGAAAAATCACTTTATCGTAGAAAAGCGTGGGGTACTTTTCAAGATAAGAATAGATAGAAGACCTATGAAGTTGCAGATTTTGCAAACTAACATTTTCAGATTTAATTATCTGTGGATTGGCGCTCAATTCGAATTTCAAACTTTATTTCATTTTATTTTTTTCGAAAGCCATGTTATTTTAATTTAAAATTCCGTCACTTGTTTTAGATAGTGTTTTGCTTGTGTGAAATTGTGGTAGTTTTTAGCGCCACGGATAAACTGGTAATTCGTACCAATTTTCGAATTCCTACGTCGAAATACCGCTGCGCAAATAACACGAAATATTAACGATGTGTACAGTTAGTCCTGTACTGCTTGCATAAACACGGTCCATTATTGGTTCAATCGTTTTAGATCTGGACATTTTGAGTCATCATGTTATCATGATATAGATAAGTTAGACCCGGACACAGAACAAATGATCATGCTCATCACACAAATATTAATAAAAACACTAGGTACTATTGCAAAAGTGATACGATCATAATTTGAGAAATAATTGCCAGAGGAGTTCAGGTTTTTGTACTATAATCTTTAAATATTCATTAATAACATGGCCATTACAGTCAATGATAATATAATAAACACTCAACGCCTGGATAACAAACCTAATAGAAAATTTCATAGGCAATTCTCCATTGGTGGTCCGACTGATGTGTGTACTAGTCGGCGAAACTCTTTGAAAGTGTTATCGGGGTTTGCGAAAGTTTGCCGCCCCTGCTGTATGGTCATAAGATCAAACAGTCCTCACACGTTCCCAACCTTATGATATCCTGGCAGTAATGCACGCGAGGATCTATAACCAGACTCTTGCGATCCACCAGAATGAGAGCGCGGGAGTCCAGGACGGGCTCGAGATACGGCAGAGCGCTCACCGTCGGGCACTGTTGCAGAGACGTGGGCGGCAGAAACAGCCGTGGAATGCTCGCCAATGAGCCATCGGTGCCGTTCTGCCTAACCTCGAAACGTAGGTAAGTAGAGAGGGAGGTCGCGTCACCTACGGACTGACGCAGGTACTCACCGGGCATGGTTACTTCGGTCACCACTTCAATCGGATCGGACGCGAGGAGACGGCCCAATGCTAACACTGCATACCGAATGGGACTCCGCTTAGCATACGTTGGCAGACGGCCGCGCGCCGAATGAAATGTTCCGATCGATCAAATTGAATGCGATCTGTGCCTGACAGCAATCATAACTAAGGAGGGCTGAGGGATAGTAGTCTATTACTGTAAAGCTGTAATGCTCCAGAAAGAGACCGCTGAACGGGATCGGGAGATAGACGATCCCGAACATTCCATGCCTAAATCGAGCATAGAATATCAGCCGTCGACAGGACTGCAGTACGCCAGAGAATGGTTTCCTCTGGTGTCAAATCAGGATAGGGTAGCGGCCTCGTTGCATCAAGACGCGATCGAACCGTAACGTAATTATAGGACGGTAAATTACGGCCCCCCGGCCCTATCCGGGGGTTATCTGAAATCACATGGTCAGGGTCCTCCCCAGAGTAGGACCGTAGTAGTAGAGTAAGGGCAGCTGAAGTCAGTTATCGGATGGTTTTTAGTCAAAAACGACTGCTGGCTTACAATGGGATGTCCTCAGGGATTAGTGCTGGGTCCATACTTGTGGAATATCGGCTTCGACGATTTCTTGCGATACCAATATCATCCGGATGTACTCTGAACGCGTATGCTGATGACGGCTTATTACTGATGGAATCTGATACTAGGACTTGAGAGGTTAGCCAATAGATGTTTGAACTTAATATCTCATTGGAGTGAACGTAAACACAACTTTTGCACCCAATAAAACCTGCCAGCTCCTTTTAGAAGGTAACCTCAATCCACCGCCGAGCCTTAAATTTGGCAATGTCACAGTAACAAGTAAAATCTCAGTGTGTTCTTTATGATTAGTTTTAGAAAGAAACTTTTCATTTATCGAACATATTAAAATAGTTAATGTAAAGTCTAAAAAGAGTTTCTGTGGATTGACAAGGATATCAACTGCGACATGGGGTCTATCATTTAATACACTAAAGATCATATACAAAGCTACTTATTTAGGTTCTATGTGCCAGGGTGCACCTGTATGGGGCAACCGTAGGCGCTGTCCGTCGCAACTGTTACAAGGCCAACGACTTGCACTGATATTCTTATGCAAGGCATATAGAACGATTAGCAATGAGGCTTTTCGGGTGCTGGCGGGTGTGCTTCCGATCAATCTCGAGATGCAGAGACGTGCAGCCATGTACTATTCAAGACAATAAAACATGGATTGCGATTTTTTGGGCGCACGAGATCCCGATAAAATTACAAGATTGTTTTAACAACAGTCCGATGTCTATAATGATCTCTTAGACGAATGTGCAACAACGCTGGACGAATCATCTAGAGGGTGCCACCTTTACCAGTTTTTTTCATCTGTTCGTGAACGGTTGTCGAGAACATGGTTTGAATTGGATCACTGGGTAGCTCAATTTCTTACAGGACATGGTAACTTTAAGAGCAAGCTGTATTCATTTAAATTAGTCGACTCACTATTGTGTCAATACTCAACAACTAACTCTAACTATACAGTTAGTCAGTACAGTACACAGTTACTGTTACAGTTACTGTCTGCTAATTATATCCTCTGGGAATGTAGTCTTTTTCATAATAAACATAATATATAATGCTGAATAGCTTGCAGGTGACATCAGGGGAGGTATACTATGGGGATCTTGTGTCAACTAGGGTGAATTTTCGTGCGTTTAGGCGATTCTGCCATACATATTATAGAAATCAAATATAGCTTACTTAGGACCCATGATATTTTGTGGCCGTGGTGCTTCCCTGTTTAAAAGGGCGTATGCCTATTTTACTTCATTTTGTCTCCCGCTTTGCTAAGGAGGGAAGTGGATTTACTGTATTTCCAACTAACTTCTCCAATTTTCTTTTGATTTATTTCGTTGCGTGTTCCAAGTAAGTTTATTTTTTTCCTGGGACTTCCCGAGTGTCATAACTCGGTGTGTTCGTGGGTCACTGCTGTTGATCCTGATGTACAGGAGATACAGTGGTGGGCGTATGAGAGGTATTAGTTCATTGATATATACTGCTGGCTCTAGTATTACTATGATGGCGTCCCTTCGGAGTTGGAGAACCGATTTTCGCCCCCGATACCAAAAAAAAGACAATTGCAACGGATTTGTTAAGAGTAAATCTTTAATCCTTTTAATGTGAATTGCATTCATGAGTCCTTTATTCCAAAAATTACAGGTACCTTACGGTATCCAAAAGATCACTGATCTTGAGCATGAAGAACATGTAGATAATTTTCTTAATCTCCGTAGCCTTTGCGCTATTTGAAAAATCAACTGGTTCACATAACCACTTATAGTCTCGTAACCACCCCAGCCTTAGAGCCTAAAAAAATGAAAATTAATTTTAATAACTTACCAGTAATATGAAAGAAAAGTAGTATTTTTTACTTTACTTGCTTTAAAACATAGCTCAGAACGTAATTGCTAAAAACTCTTTTTATTCAAAAGATTTTGAATGTTCTTACTTCCACAAATAGGTATAGGCATGCCATTACTTGGAAAGCATTGTACACGATCATAGCTTTATCTAAATTAAGTGGCCGACGACTCTGCATCCATTGTGGCCCCCATTTTAATACAAATAGGAGATATAATGCAAGCAAAGTTATGCCTTGGTATGGCTTAGTTACTAAAGGCCAGGATTTCGTTTGTTGATCTGGAAAAACAGAAAAATAGGCACGTTGTTGTCAAATATAACGCATTACATTAAATAAAGATTATTGGTCATTTCCCTAAATACAATTCGTAAATCATACTTACCAACTGCTTCCTCAAATAAGTATACGTATCCGTGCCAAGCTTTTTTCAGTAGTAATGCCATTGCACGGATAAAGAAAACTTCCTACTTGTAAGGCAACTATAAAGTTTCGACACGCAAAATTACTAAATATTACATGTGATCCAAACTATGCGCATGGATGCTAACCATAGACTGGTATAAAAGGCGATTAATGATGTTATATTTAATCGGTGTCAATATATTAGCATCTTGATTTTACATAATACCATTGTTTTAGTTATGTAAATATCCTCTACTAGAAAAATGTTAAGGTCCACATTAGACGCATATTATACTGGTTTGAGTTTCATGGACGAATGTGAAATGTAGAATTGGATTGATTAAATTATAAATTGTAATGAACAAAGGTAAGTGGGTAGTCATGATAGTCACAGATTTAGTCTAACCTTTTTTTTTTACGTGTGGAAATCCCCTCGGACCGTCACCCCACCGGGGTTTGCGGCGGGGTGGTGTGTCGGACTCGGACCGACTACAACCACACGGTGTGCCACTCTGCGCCTGTAATAGGAGGGATCCGGGAACAGCTGTTATTAAGACATCCGGACCCCTCCTAGCGCCTGCCCGCAACGGCGCGGGCACCACCTTCGGTAAACTCTCTATTTAGGCAACGTCCGGCACACGCGGACGCCGCCCCCTCGCGGCTGGCCAAACTAATGCGGGTGGAGGGGAAACCCACCCCGTCCACCCGCGGCCCACACTCAGGGCGGCATGAGGCGCAGGCACCCGATCCGCCACACGGTTCGCCGGCGGCGGATCGGGTCCGAGTGGAGGTCGTCCTCCCAGGCCTTCTCCGCCGCCTCCTTCTGCGAGATTACTTCCTCGCAGAAGGTTGCGAGCGCGGTATAACAACTGTCGCTACCGGCCATGGAGCGTACTACGGCCCATAGCGAGAGATCCACTCCGATGACTGCAGTGAGGGCCCGGCGCTGCGTCGCCCATGCGTGGCAGACCGCCAGCGTGTGCTGGGCCGAGTCCTCACTGCAGTCGCAGTGGTGGCAGGCGGGACTCAGTTCCCTCCTAGCGACCGAGTGCAGGTACTTTCCGAAGCAACCGTGGAGTCTCCAGCCGGAACGACCAACGAGCCATCGTGGCTCTGCGAGCGGCTTCGCGCCACTTGCGCACGTCTTCGGGCGGAGGGCGAAATCCGCTCTCCGCCCGGTAGTCAGCCACTCGCCGATAAACTTCGGCGAGCACTTCCGCCTCCAAATCCCACGGGGAGTTCCGGCCAACGCGCAAGCCACCTCCGTCGAAACGGTGCGGTAACCGCGTATGGCTCTGACCGCCAATACCCTCTGAGGGCGCCAGATACGTGCCCTATTCTGGGCGGTCAGAGCCGCCGCCCACACCGGTGCACCGTATAGTGCCATTGACCGGACACCCCCCGTGTACAGCCGTCTTGTCGCGACGCTGGGTCCACCCAAATTGGGCAAAAAGTCGCCCTAGGGGCAGACGCAGCGCCGACCAGCTTTGGAGCAAGCTGTCCGGAAGTGCTCGTCGAAGAGCCACCTCCCGTTGAGGATCAGGCCCAGATATTTCATCTGGGCCCGAACCGGTACGAGGAGCGAGTTGACCACGATTGAGGCGCCAGGGGGTGGACCACGACGGGGCCCATGAAATAAGAGAGCCTCCGTCTTATCTAGGGCCACCCGTAAGCCCAGCGCCTCAATGCGCCCGACCACCAGGGGGCCTCCCCTTGTGGCCAGGCGCGCCGCCTCTTGGAAGTTCTTTTCATTATTTTGTATACATCTTTGTAATTCAATGACAAAAACATATACTCGTACATAGTCTGCCAAAATAGGCCGGCCTTTTAGGCAGGAGTACGCTCTTTTCTTGAATGTTTGAAGGTCGTATCGGTCCGGAAATACCGCAGACGATAACCCGCTCCACAGATTGGTTGTGCGTGGCAAAAAGTGTCTCAAAAACGTACATTAGTGCAGCGCCAACTATCCAGGTGATAAGATGAAAATTTTGTGTGTGCATTGCTGCGATCAGTGCTGGTAGTGACAAGTTTCGTCCAATCTGTCCGACTAGGACTCGGTGCTCGGACTCCATGAAGGGCAGTCTTCCAGCGTGTGCTGGGCGGAGTCCCTGTCGGACTGTGTGTGACCTGACACAGTGGTGGCATTGTAATGGAAGGGATCCGGGGACTGCTGTTATTAAGGGTGGAGGGGAAAACCTGTCCCGTCCACCTGCGGCCTCACTTAGGGTGGCATGAGGCTCTGGTAAGCGCGCTTCCGCCGCCCGGTTCGTCGGCTGCCTAGCAACCTCTGCAGGCTTTTGAGTAGAGCCTTGGAGTGGGAGGCACCGCCAGGGAGACGGGTGCGCTATAGAAGTTATTGATCGCACGACGCCCATGTAGAGGCGGCGGACTTCCCGTGGTCCTCCGAGATTGGGCAGCAGGCGATGCAGCTCACCCGCTACCTCAAGCACTCGAGGGGACTAATCGCTCGAAACTCCACTGGCTGTCCAGGATAAGGCCTAAGTGTTTCATGTACCGGCACACCTGGTCTTCAGCGTCACCCACCGGAGGCATGAGCTGAGTGGTTCCAGGCGCTTACGTAGACCATGGAACCATATCGCCTCGGTTCGCCAATTCTCTGCGACCTCTGGTTCCTGAGTCGGCTGACGGGCCCCCAGAGTTCCAACTCTCTCCCGGTCCCGCTCCGCCATCTCCTTCGCAACCATAACTTGCTCGAAGAAGGGTCAGGTCCACCGCCTACGGTTACCACCGCCGTACACTTGACCCTCACGTGCCCCAAAGCCAGGCATTGGAAGCACCTTGGCAACTGGGACTGCAGAAGCTTCAGGAAGCCTCAGCCTCCCACTAGGAGGCTTCGTCCATCGGTGACCTTTACCTGCGTTACCCCGTTACCGTTACCTCTGTCAACGGGGGCCGAAGCGTTTTGCGCCGGCCTTTAGATTGTCCAGGGAGCACCTCCATGTCTTCACCACGGCGAGCCTAAGCTCATCCGCCATCACGGAGTCGTCCAGGCCCGTGATGCATACTTCCTTGCCTCTGCCATCAAAGTGATGATAACGAAAGCAGAGTGAGGTATGTAAAGCCGTTGCGGTGGCGGCCTTATTGGCCGCTTTTTTAGCGACCTTTCGCCTGTTCTATTTTTCCCTGGCTACCGTCCAGCCTCCTTCCAATGGGCGTTGTGCAAAATTAGCCGGGGCTGGAACTGTAACTGGGGTTAGGGCCGACATCAGGCTGCCTCCGACGTCGCCCGAGCTTGGTGTTTCTCGCTTCATGCGTTTATTTCTCCCCGTCCGACTTCGAGGCTTTCCTCAACATCTTGGAGACCTTGATGCGGTGACTGGCGCCTGGGCACGATCTGGTTCTGGGGGACTTAAACGCAAAATCCATTGTTTGGGGTTTCCCCAGGACGGACGCAAGGGGTGAGGCCGTAGAGGAGTGGGCGACCTCGGTGTGCCTCTGTCTTCTAAACAGAGGCTCCACCAACATGTAAGTGCGACAGTAGCGCGGGTCGATAGTGGACCTTTCGTTCGCTACCCCTGCCCTCGCCGCACGAGTAAGGAACTGGTGTGTCCTGGAAGAGGTTGAGACGCTCTCGGGTCACCTGTTTATTCGATTTCAGCTCATTCGGACCCAACCCCAGTAGGGGTGACGTGGCGTAGCGTTCTTTACGTTTTCCGGGCTATTGTGATCCTATTATTGACATCTGTCAAAAAGACACTGATCCAGGTCCTATTCGAGTGGCACGTGACGTACCTAAAAATGTATTTTCGCTTAAGCCTAGTATTAAGTTTCCTTTGAATTGTGAGTGTATGTTTTTCCTTCGGGGCAGGGTACCTAACTAGTTCAGGGAGGTCGTCCTCCGCGGCAGCTTGTGCCTATTTTCACTGAGGTGACCTCATCGCTCGAGGCTAACACCATATTGTCACCTGAGTGGGGCTGGCAACACTGTTTGCGCTTGTGAGCACCCCGCTGGTACGGCTCTGCAACTGACACGATTGAGGTGCTAGCTCCATTCTTTTCTAAGGCAGTGTCAGAATCCAACTGCCCCTTGTGTTGCCGCGTCCTTCGCGCTTGGTCGATGGATTTCCTAGGATCCCAGAATACGAATGGTAGCTAACGGAGCCATTTGGCTCCGGGACTGACTCCCCAGGAGCAGTTCGTCCGGGACCCTCCTGGGTAGATGATACCTTTATTTCCCTATGCCATAATTTGTGAGTTTAAAGTCCTCCAACATGACGCCCTCGGCACTGGACACCATCCAGCGAGTCAGCCCATTGCCATGTGCCAGCGTGGGCTTTGTTTTTTTTATAGAGGTTTACGTTCTCGCGGGTCCGAAGACCTACCGGTCCTGTCCGTTCAGGGTTATGGCTTTGCCGGACGGGGTCCCGACCAGGTGCGTCCGCCCGAGGTTTTTTATAGAGGTAGGTCCTCATAGCCCTCGAAGAGACGCCGTTCCTAACTGTTGCCAGTCAGGTTTACTTTATTTATTTATTCCTTTATTTATTTAAATTAGTCGAGTCACCATTGTGTCAATGCTCAACACCTAACTCTCACTATGAACAGTCTGCTCATCATATCCTCTGGGAATGTAGTCTTTGGTATAATAATAATAATAATAATAATAATATTGTACCACATTCACACAACGCCATCTAGTCCCAAACTAAGCAGAGCTTGTACTATGGGTACTAGACAACTGATATAAATACATATATACTTTTTTTTTTGTAAATACATACTTATTATACATAGAAACACCCAGACCAAGTCAAACATTAAATGTTCACGCACACAAATGTTTGACTTGAGCGGGAATCGAACCCGCGACCTTTGAAATAGCAATCCGTTACACAAACCACTACGCCATTCGGTCGTCAAATGAACGTAATATAACGCTGAATAGCTTGCAGGTGACATCTGGGGCGGTATACTATGGGGATCTTGTGTCAACTAGGGTAAATTTCCGTGCGTTTAGACGATTCTGCCATACATATTATAGAAATCAAATATTGCTCACGTAGGACCCGTAATATTTTGTGGC